AGCTTGGCTAGATTATTCTTTTTGGTTTGTAATAGTTAGCTTAATTAGTTAGCTAGTTAGCTAGTTTATTCATTCCCACCCTCCTGCGTGAGGGCATCAAATGTTGTAATAATGTGTATGTCTTCCAACCCCATGGCTTTCTCCCTTTTATTTATCCACTTTTGATGGTTAGATTAGGGACATCATGTTTTGTTTAGCATATTGCATGTTTGCATTTATTCATTTGTCTTGCATACACCAGGCATCCCATTGCTATATATACCGCATGTAAAACTGACTCTAGTTAGTGCCAGCTCGGCCATGCTTATCAGTCGAATGCAACCGCCAATCGGTGTCGAACCGGTTCGGCACGGACTGGACCCGACCAAACTGTCTGAGGACCCGATCAGGGAGATGCGACTCAACCATGTCAAAACAAATAAGTGGTACTCTCGCCATCTATATCTCCCGGCCTAGTCAGCAGTAGTCTAGCAGTGTACTGAGGACCCCAGCATATGGCTGCCATATAAACTACAACAACGACAAGTATATTAAAATTCGCTCGTGAACTCAAAACTTATACAATGAACAAGACATCAATGCAATAAATTTCAAACATTTCCCTCGAACATCCGGTTGAATTGGTATCTATAAACGACGACTACATGGGTTTATACGACCTCGTGGCCGAAGTCAACCCTCCACCGGCTGCCTCGAGGTTCGGGTGGCAACTGCTACTCTCCTTGCCCCATGGGAAGCTCCTCAAGCGCAACCACTTGCCGCCTAAATGGGGCAATGCGAATGAATCTCTTCCATGCCCAAATCTGCAATAGTTTGGACCCAATTACAGTACTGATATATGTCATACAACATGAATTGACATGTGTTAAAATTCTTCCTAACCTGTAGCAATACAAGTGGTCCTCCGATCTCCTTCGCATCCACCTAAGCCACTCGACAAAGCATCCTATATAAGTATGCCAAAGCCGCGCCACCCCAGCTGTACTCGCCGATCTCGTCGATGTCTCTCAACAGTGGCAAGTGCATAAGCTTGATCAGGTTCTGTGACTTATCAAAGAAAAGTACCCCCCGCCAATGAGCTGCAGAATATATGCTCGAGCATGCTGCCGTACCAACTCATCTGTCGTTTGCTCTGGAAGAGGACCAAAATGCTCGGCTAGCCACCTTACCCTCAGTTTACCTGCCTTAAGTCTGTAGGTATAGGTGTTACTCCCAATAGCTCACCATATAGCACCACCCACTGGTCCCTCATAAATGCAGGGTCAATACCAGTAACTGCTCGGCCGTCAATCCATAGACCATATAGGACAGATACGTCCTACAATGTCACCGCGACCTCTCCTATCAAAAAATAGAATGTATGCTTCTCCGTGTGCCACCTCTCAGCCAGAGTAGTGATCAGTGAGTGGTCGAGTCTAATAGGACCGATACACTACACACCATAGAATCCTACGTGTAGTATATACTAAAGGACTCTATGGTCCAACAGATGCTCCCATAGGCCAAAACTGCCTGGCGACGTGTCAATCCTACCTGTGCCTCCTCCTGAATAACAGAATGACTAGTTTAAATAATAATATTATCACGTAAGATAGAACAAAATGAAGGGTATTTTAATTGTAAGCGTAAGTCCAACAAACATTACGTACCGGATGCGCCCATATATTGTTAGCCCGATGTGGATGAATGAGAAGTGGGACCTCCTTAAGTAGATGTGTCATGCAGCCTGTACAAGTGAAATACTAGATCGTAATAATAAAACTCTCATTTAATCATAACAATAAAACTCTAATTATTTCGTAAATTACGATTTTTAAATGGAAAGTATGCTCAGCTATTTCAAAATTTAAATTTGTGTGATACTATATATAGAAGCAATTCACTAAAATCTAATTATTTTTTATTTTAAAAAAGTCTATTAGTTAACTCTAATATAACTATAACAATTAAATTCTAATTATTCCATAAATTACGACTTCTAAAAGAAAAATATGCTCAGTTATTTTAAAATTATAAATTTTTGTGCCACTAATATGGAAGCAATTCACTAAAATCTAATTATAATCATTAAAAAAAAATCTAATTATTCCATAATTTATGATTTTTAAATATATATATATATATATATATTTCTATTTTAAGATTTAAAATTATGTGTCATTAAATATGATAAACAATTCAACAGAATCTCAAAATTTATAAAACCTTTCAAATGGTCACGTTATCTACGCTATAACTAATATAGAAATCTTTTTCAAAATTATTTTAGGGCCTAAGTTACATAAGCTTAATAATAACCATGAACATAGTGTATTAACATGTGGATAGTTTTCCTACATAAATATTTGCTAAAAAATTGAATGAGAAATTTTTTTTTCCAATAATAGGTTGATGATTACATTTATGGCATATTTGACAAAACTTAATTATTGATTTTGTAATGCTAGAAGTTTGAATAAATTATAAAATTTTTAAATTACATAAATTTATTCATAAATTGTAAATGTGAACAATGGTTGCAGCATTCGAAAATATTAAATTTATTCATAAATATTAAATTTTCAAATGGTAGAAGAACTATTTGATTAAGTATAGAATTTTTTAATACACATTTTCAATCAAATCCTCTTTCAAACACTTAGGCCTATGTGCTAGAGTTAAATTGTTTTACATACATATTCAGTTTAATTTATTTGTTTAGTATATTAGTTGTAAATTTTTTTAATATAAAAAAATTAAAATATACAAAAAATTAAAAATGATCTATTTAGATTTCAAATTAAGTAAATGGCTTTAGGGTTTGCAAAATGTTCAATTGGTCTAACCTCTAAAACATTAGTAAATATAATTAATTAATAGTTTAACATGAGGTCATTTGCATTACAAGCTAAGAATTCACATGGGCTGTCCAATTACAATCTCACAATTAAAAAGGGCAACCATTTTACAATTTCATAATTCACAAAACTCAGGTAAGCATTACATAATCTTCATCGACCAAACATTGCCGAACATGTCCGCCTATTATGACCTGTCTGCTAGCACTCACTGCAACGAGCAGTCAAACGCCTATCTGATATATCCATCTCATTCGGAATACGGCACATAGATTTACGACCCCATTTTACTTCTCGCAGACGAAGTGCATTAGGCATTAAGGTCCACTGCGGATCCTCCTAATAATCTTGATACGGTATTGGGTTGAATTTAGTTTCCCAAACCCTCATGTATATAGGAAGCCTATATACTGGAGCAATGTACTCGAATGGATTGTCACTACAATCAGACATATCAACGAGCATATGGGAACATGGATAGTGTCTTATCTCGTATTTGCCACAATTGCACGTGGGTTGATTCATGCACACAATCTTTGTATTGCGACCTTGTCCATGGCGAAAAGATGTTTGCACCTGAAAGATGCGACGGGGCCTATCAGACATTATTGATACAAACTAATTGTCATGTTTGTAGGTGTAATTAACTTCACAACATAATAAGCATAATTTAGTTTACATTACAACCTAACATGTCGCACGATATCAACTAGAAAGTATTTCCCCTTGCGATGTCCTCCTCGATTGTTTTTTGCATCTCCCTAGGGTATTGGAACTCATTCCCTACATCTATTTTTGCTTAGGCTCCCATATCGTCAAAATATTTTACGAGCTGTCGAAATGTAAACTCAACCATAGCTAAAATAGGTAGGTTCCTTACACCTTTCAAGACACTGTTGAAGCACTCTGCATCATTGCTGGTCAATACCTCCCACCGATATCCACCGTCATATGCAAAGGCCCATTCCACAGGATTCAACTTGTGGACGCAATCGATGGCATCTTGGTTAATGGCATGTATCTGTTCTAAGTAGGCATTACACTTTTGTCGTTGATGAGCACTCCCTGTTTTCCATAGAAGTTGTTTCAGCTCCTTATTTTTAAACTTTGTGCTGAAGTTACTACAAACATGTCGAAAGCAGTGCCGATGATATCCAACAAATTGGAGCGAAGGATTCAGCCAATGCTGCCTCACAGTAGCTAAAATACTCTCAGCTCAATCAGATATCAAAGTCACTCCCTGTCGGTCCATAACAATATGTTCCCTGATATTTGAAATGAAAAACGACCAAGACTCCAAACTCTCTGTGTCAATAACAGCGAATGCAAGCGGTAATACTTTGCCATTGGCAGTGACGATCGTTGCTACAAGCAACACACCAGTGTATTTTCCGTATAAGAATATATCATCTATGGTTATAACGGGCCTACAATATCTGAATCTATTGATGACGGGTTTGAAAGACTAGAAAACAAAGTAGAAGACGAGCATAATGGTTGTACCTCCGGTATATCTATGCTTCCATTTAACGATGGTGGCAGGATTAGATGTCTATAATGCATGCATGAATTTAGGCAACTGTCTATACGATTCATCCCAATCCCCGAATACCATTCTAATTTCCTTTGACCTTGCATGCCACGCCTTCTTGTATGATATATTGTAGTTCATGGTCTTTTTGATATCTTCGATGACATTCTTAATTGGCATATGAGGTTCATTCTGTATACGACAATCAAATATGAGTTGGATTATTTGAGTGTGAACACTATAAACAAACATATATATATATATATATATATATTTTATACTCACCGAAACTTGTCCCAAAAGATGAGAAGTAATGTAACCGAAGTCAATATTAATGTGGTCCCTGTTCATCCTTAGGTATAAACAATGGTGCAAACCCTTATACTGCTTTATTTCAAAAGGACCATGTTTCTTATTAAGAGATGCACGTAACCACCAACTACAATCGTGCTTGCAAGCAGACACCCAAAGGTCTCAGTTGGAGGTTACGACCTTATACTCTCGATTATTTCTTACGTGATACAATTTCACAGCATATACAAGTTGCTTCTTATCGACGAAAACCATCCCTTTGTCCAATTCTGCATTTTCAGCATTTCAGATCCAGTTACGAGAAATGACATCACGGCTACTCATGTCAAATCACCACCCATGTGAATGTTCTCATAGAAAAGGATTTCAGGTCTAGATGGGATGCAGACATTTTCAAGGTCAACGGGGCCATCGACATCATCTTCTTCATCATCATCATCTGATCCGGCTAATAAATTTTCTTCACCAAACATTTCATTTTCATCACTGTCTAGGGCAACATCAGGACCATACATGTCATTGTCAGCAATAGTGTCAGCAAACTGCATATAGTTCATCGTTTCCGCCATACTCCCATCAACTTCAACTGGAGTGGTATGATGGCTGCAGGCCGGCACATCTTCTATGTTATTGTGAAATTCATAATCATATCCACCACGCGAACTTGATTTCACACCATGGCCCTCAAATATCTATTGTGTGTAGACCACTGAATAACGTTGATCTAATGCATAAATAGGAGACCGAAACATTGTCGTGTCAATTCCTTACGTAAGCAATGTAGTGAAGGGACGAGAATCCATTTGTCTTATATTCGGGACATTACATACAACCTCTTTATCAATGTACACTTCCAAAAACAATTTGGTGGTTGGAAACTTGCACCGATACTTAATACGGTGTTCAACGTCTCATCACTACAACAAATTTGGGATTTAAAAACGAAACAAATTTGTCCCAAAATGTATATATTTCGTCACCCAAACTAATTACGACGAAAATTTTTCGTCGCCCGTTTTGTTGCCAAAGCCTCGTCGCTAAAGGGTCTTAGAGACGAAAAAACAATTTCGTCATTGAAAATGATAAATTTGTGACGAATATTTTTGTCTCCAATACGCTCTGCTGGGAACATACTTGTAAGTAATTAGCGACAAAATATTTTGTCATTAAAGGAAGAAATTAGAGACAAAAGTATTTTGTCATAAATATAAGAAATAGAGACGAAATAATTTTGTCACGTTTAATATGAACGAAGACGAAATGTTTTTGTCAAAGAAGCTACCAATAGAGACAAAAACAAATTCATCATTAAAAATGATAAATTTGTGATGAATTTTTTTGTCTCCAATACACTCTGTTGGGAACATACTTGTAAATAATTAGCGACAAAATATTTTGTCATTAAAGGAAGAAATTAGAGGCAAAAGTATTTTGTCATAAATATAAGAAATAGAGACAAAATAATTTTGTCATGTTTAATATAAACGAAGACGAAAATTTTTTGTCAAAGAAGCTACCAATAAAGACAAAAACAAATTCATCATAAAAATGATAAATTTGTGACGAATTTTTTTGTCTCCAATACACTCTGTTGGGAACATAATTGTAAATAATTAGCAACAAAATATTTTGTCATTCAAGGAAGAAATTAGAGACAAAAGTATTTTGTCATAAATATAAGAAATAGAGACGAAATAATTTTGTCACGTTTAATATAAACGAAGACGAAAATTTTTTGTCAAAGAAGCTACCAATAGAGACAAAAACAAATCCATCATTAAAAATGATGAAATAATGTCAAAAAAAATTTGTCACACATTGAGGGTAATAGTGACAAAATGTGACAATATTTTTTGTCATGACAAATTCATTTAGCGACGAAATAAAGAATTCATGACAAAATTAATCATCCACCTAAACCAAATAAGAGACAAGAAAACCTTCTTTAAGGATGGAAAATTTTGTCAATAATTCCATAATATTTTTTTCCACATTATATACCTATTTTATCAAAATCTAAATTCTATATATAACAATTCCATCACAACTTAACCTAACCTGTTATCAACATATTTACGAATTAACAAAATGAAAATATTCATTCATCATTACAAATAATTTCATCATAATACAATAAAATAGTGAAATATCCACACAAAAAAAACAAAAGTTATAACTTGTTCAATTCCACAAAACATCCAACAATAACTAGTGCAACTCCACAAAGTATGTATATCCTTATCAAACAAAAATGAACATTCAAGCAAATTATATCATTGTTGCACGTCAAAAATGCCACCCCAATCCAATCTGAAAAAAAATAAATTAAAAGCTTTAGTAATTAATCAATTACACAAAAGAATGTGATTATTATGCACTGCTAACTATATTAACAAAGCTAAGAATACACATATTTAAATGAAAAATATACTCTAGATACTTCTCTATCTCGGGGCTATTGTTCAACAAGAACCAATGAGCCATATCACGATATTCTTGTGACATATCAGCATCCCTTGTGATTAGGCCAATAGGACGGGCAGTTTCTGTGAATACAGTCAACCCTTTGCGACGTTCGCCACGATCTTGATTTCGTTCGGGTCGATTATGCACTGTTTCGATCCCATCAACATACATTGAACAAAAAGTAATGCACTCTTTGACAATGTAAGCCTCTGCGATTGAACCTTCTGGTCGAGCTCGGTTTGTAACAAACTTTTTTAAAGCTCCGAGAAACCTTGAAAATAGAATTAGTTAAGAGCAAGGTTACACATGCAACATATAATTACGAATCTTTCAATTTAACAATTACCTTTCAATCCGGTACATCCATCGATATTGCACCAGTCCTCCAAGAATTGCCTCACGCGGCAAGTGAACGGCCAAGTGAACCATCACATCAAAGAAGGCTGGAGGAAAGATCTTTTCAAGCTTGCATAATATGTGTACTATACGTTCCTCTAATTTCTCAAGTTCATTACGGCGCAATGTCCTTGAGCACAAATCCTGGAAAAAGCTACCTAACTCAAATAGTGTTTTACTAATCTCTTTGTCTACGTAACCACGCATCCCAATTGGAAGAATCCGTTGTATGAGTACATGGCAGTCATGACTTTTCAAGCCTGTTAATTTACCATTTCTCGCATTCACTGATCTTGATATGTTTGCAGCATAACCATCTGGATACTTAACTGATTTCAAGAATTCAAAGAAACCCTCCCTCTCTTCAGGGGTCAATGAAAAGATTGCCCTAGGTTTGACATAAGTTCCATCAAGACGACGTGTTAACCACAACTCTTTCCTTATGCCCATATCTTCCAAGTCCATTCGTGCTTTGTCGGTGTCTTTGTTCTTTCCATCAATGCCTAACATAGTTCCAAAGGTATTTTCACTAAAATTCTTCTCGACATGCATGACATCAATGTTGTGTCGAAGCTTCCGTTTCTTCCAGTATGGTAACTCATACAAGATGCTTACCTTTGTCCAATTTGGTGCCTGACGGAGTCTTTCCTTGTTTCTTGGAAGCTTCCCATATGTGACACATGTCACTCTATCCAATTGCTCTAATATCTTTTCCACTGGTAACTCTAAAGATCTCTTTCGCTTCTCATGCTTACCATTGTAAGCTTTACTCTTTCGCCTTTCGGGGTGGTTTTGAGACAAGTAGCATCGATGGTTAGTGTATGCAGTCTTACCTTTCAAGGATTGAAAATATAGTTCATCATTGCAAGTGTAACAAGAATAATGACCATTTGTTCTCCACCCAGATATGTCACCAAATGCAGGCCAATCATGTATAGTCCACATCAAAGCTGCACGCATCTGGAAAGACTCACCAGTTACCGCATCATAAGATAATGCACCATTTTCCCACAACTCATTCAACTCATCCACCAGAGGTCTCATATAGACATCAATATCGATCCCTGGTTGTGATTCTCCAGGAATAAGTAATGACATCATAAGAAAGGGATCTTTCATAACCAACTAAGGTGGCAAGTTATAAGGAATGAGTACTACAGGCCACAAACTATATGAGTTGCTCATGTTCCCGAAAGGATTGAACCCATCGACAGTCAACCCTAGCCTCACATTTCAAGGCTCTAGGGCAAACTGAGGATGTTGCGCATCAAATTCCTTCCACTCATCACTATCGGCAGGATGCCTCAATACTCCGTCATTTATACATTTGTCCTTGTGCCATCTCATGTCCTCAACAGTCTTCCTTGACATGTACAATCTTTTTAACCTTGGTGTCAATGGGAAGTACCGCAACACCTTATGGGGAATCTTCTTACCCTTGCCACGATTGATCTTGTATCTAGATGCCTTACATTTTGGACATTTATCAAACCTTGCATTTTCCTTCCAAAAGAGTACACAATCATTTATACAAGCATCAATTAACTCATATGACAAGCCCAAATCACGAAGTATTTTCTTAGCTTCATAAAATGACTTTGGAATCAAATTATCTTTTGGTAAAAGTTTTGTTAAAAACTCCAACAGTGTGTCAACCGACTTATTACTCCAGTGGTTTGTTACCTTCATATTAAGCAGCTCGATGACAAACTTCAACAGAGTGTAGTTTGTGCAACCTAAGTACACCTCACGTTTGGCATCATTCAATAGTTTGTCAAACGTTTGTACTTCTTCATTCTGGGGTGCATCGTTGGGTTCTCCTCTTATTCGATCTTCCACTAAGGCATCAACACCACCTAAAACCTCATCTTCATCAATTGGCATTTCATAGTGAGCCTCATTTGATACACGTGGTTCCCCGTGCTCATGCCAAATAGTGTAAGTTTGCATAATCCCATATTGAAGCAAATGAATTTGCACATTTTGAAGATTTTGGGAATAATAGTTCACACAGTTCAAACATGGGCACGGAATTTTACCTTCTTGGTCAACAACTGCCATTGCAAATTTAATAAATGATGTCACCCCATCAATAAATGGCTGACTCATCCTTCCATCAGGTGTCTTACCCAATGCAATCCAACTCCTGTCCATGTCTGATCACAAATGAAAGATCAAGTTTTTTTAATTTGTTTATGTCATAAAACACATCATGCATATTTTTCTTTTAAATTTTTTTATTTTTAATTTTTTTTATTTTAGGTTTGGATTTGGCGTATTTTGCTTAATTTTTTTTTTTAAGTTTTTTATTTTCGGTTTGGATTTGGCGTATTTTGCTTAAATTTTTTTATTATTTTTTATTTTTTTATTTTGGGTTTGGATTTGGCGTATTTTGCGTACATTTTTTTTTGTTTTATTTATTTTATTTTGGGTTTGGATTTGGCGTATTTTGCTTAATTTTTTTTTTTAAATTTATGTTTTTGTCTTTTTTTTTTATACATTAATTAGTTCTTGTTCTTTAATTTACGTTTTTTCCCTTCTTGAAATGTTTTATGAAAATTCTCTATCTTTAAATTACACATATAATAAAACATTATATAATAATCAAATTTTTTGTAATTAATCCTTACATTTTTCATTTATTTGATATTTTCTTTTAAAATTTTTTGAAACAAACTAGTAACTTCATAATTCAATTTTGTTCATCTAGAATATCCTGATATATAATTGGGTTGCATGCAAATCTATATCAAGGAATAGAAGATGCTGCAGTTGTTGTAGATATAGATGCATCAGTAGTAGGGAGAAGATTTGTGTTGCCTTTGTCATTCTGTAGGGGTCACGTAGTATGATCCAATGTTGTCAAGACTTTATTGCAATTTGTAGAACTATTGGAGTTCCTAATTTGTTTATTAGGTTCAAATGCAATCCTATATGGCCATAAATAAAAGATGATCTTCTAAGACTATCGAATCAACGTGCAGAAGATAGACTTGATATTGTTGCTAGAGCTTTTCAAATTAAGTTTAAACAACTACTAACTGACTTGAAGAAAAATAAAATATTTGGACAAGTACTTTTAGGTATTATTATTCTAACACCTATGCATTTGTGATATAACAAATACTCTTAAATGTCTAATGTATCAATAATTATTTTTTATGAACAGTTATTTACATCATCGAGTTTCAAAAATGAGGATTACTGTAGCGATCCCAGTTTTGCCACTTCGCTGAGTATGTTAGGGATCGAGCTGCCTGGTTAGCTTGCGGGGGTCCAGGGGGCAGCGCCCCTTGGCGGGTCCAAGGGCAGCACCCTGGCGGGGATCGAGCTGCTCAGTCAGCTCGCAGGGATCCAGGGGGTAGCGTCCCTTGGTGGGTCCTAGGGAGCGCCCTGGCAGGGTTGAGAGGCAGCACCCGCGAAACAAAAATGCAAAATGCATTAGAAGTTGCTTGTCCGCTCAAGCGGCCGTTTATGCGCTCAAGCGAAGAATGTTTGGTTCCAGAAGTTTGACCTGTTTGCAAAAGTACTAGGAAAGTGTATTTGATGCTCGAGCGGGGCTTTCCACGCTCGAGCTGACCATGTTATATCAGTTCGTGAATCTGAATTTTAGATCACTTTTGTATATATATCTCTCTCTCTAAAAACCCTTTCCTCTCCATTCTCTCTACATTTCCCTACGCCAAATTGGATCAAAACTTTGATTTCTCAAGATCCATTAGAGTTCTGCCATAAGTTCTTCATCAAAGTTGGTTAACTTCTCAAGGGCTTCGTTGTGTGCGGTGAAGATCGAGTTTCGACACCATTGACTTTTGGGGTTTCATCTTATTTCTTCTTCAAAACTTGAGGTAGGGATTTTTTTAGAATTATATATATATTTGCAAGATCTATATGATTTTCAAAATTATCTTTTGATAGTTTTGAAAATTGATTGTTGATTCAAGAAATTGAGCGATTTTGAAAGTGGGTTTGTATCTTGTTGTTTTAAAATGATCTTATGGGTTTTGATCTTCGTTGATTAGAAAAGATGATTTTAGAAAGTTTTCTTTCAAAAGATTTGAGTTGTATAGTTTTGGTGAGAAAACCTAGAATTTGGGAATTTTTTTTAAGGAGACTGAAAATCCATGAATGATATTGTTATATTTATTTTGTGTGTCAAAATAAATGGATGTTCGGAAAATTTCTTATTTATATTTATATAAATGATGAATTTTAGAGAATATGAGAATTGTTGTTTATTTTGGAAATTATTGTTCAAAACGTTGAAATAGTCTTGAAATAACTAACTGCCGAGGATACTTGAGAAGAGGGAATTGTGTTATTCCTTGGATGATGAATTGGAATAAAAGTATTTATATTCATCTTGTGAAATTGGCATATCAATTTATTTGATTATATTAAACTATGAAAGTTGATTTGAACACTTGCATTGAGAAAAGAAAGTTGAGAAACAAGTTTTCATGGAATGGTTTTGGGGTAAATACATTGGTAAGTCTTGATAGGTGGTATAGATGATATTGAATAAGTTGGCCTGAGAGTCCAGGGTGAAAGACTGAAAACTCGCGAGGACAGGTGTCGAGCCTTCCGGTTAATACCGGTAAAAATGACAATTTGGTAGTACTTGTATAGTCTACTTGCAGACACTGACCTAGGGATTACTAGAGTCGTATTTATTGCCCTTGAAATAAATTATTAAGTTTTGAACAATTGAAATTGCATGCTATTATTGAGCATGATGGTTTTTAAAAGATGAAAATGTGATTTATCTTCAAAAAGGGCATAGCATGGCATGTGTATTTCATCTCTTGAGACTTGTATAAAATGTATATACTTTGTTAAGAATTTTCTACTGGGCTTTATGCTCACCCTACGGGATTTTTGCGCAGGAAAAGATGTGGTGATCCCACCCAACTAGGGGCATGGAAGTATGTGTGTTGGGAGCACAATGCTCTCATTTTGCTGTGATTCTGTGTGTAAGCCAAGTGTTGTGTTTGTGTGGGTTTGAATAACCGTTTTGTGTAACCAGGCTCAAGCCTTGGAAACTTGTAAACCCTTAGGGGTATTTATTTGTTTATTTACTTGTTGTTGGATTAATATATTGTTGCATGAAGAACTATGGTATCATGTAATGTAAGTTTGGAGATTTATATTCGGTTTTCCTCGAAAGAGCCATGATTGTTGTTTTATCATTTGGACTAGAAATTTGGGGCGTTACAATTGCCGCATTCTTACATTACAATCACATTAGCATCGGAGAATAAACCAATCACTTCGGAACAAATTAATGAGTTTATATATGCTGAATCGCGTGACAAAAATGTAGACCCATTGGCATATGAGACTATTGTCAGATGCATGATACACGGACCTTGTGGTGCTGCTAATCACAATGCTCCATGCATGGTAGATGCAAAGTAAACAAAACATTATCTAAAGAAATTTTGTAATGAAACAATAATTGATGATAATGGATTTGTCTCATACAGGCATAGATGTGATGAAGGCAACACAACAAACATAAATGGATTTACAGTTGATAATAGATGGGTCATTCCATATAATCATGATCTTTTAGTGCGATATGATTGCCACACTAATATTGAATGATGTGCATACCCAAAGTTGATGAAATATTTGTACAAATATGTTAACAAAGGGCATGATCATGTGATAACCATGATTGAGGATAATGTTATCAATTCAAACAATAATGAGCAACAACATTACAAACAAGTTAATGAGATCAAACAATATTTGGATGCTCTATACGTGTATGCGATTGAAGCATGTTGGAGGATATTTGAGTTTGAACTTTCGAAACAAACTCTTTCTATTGAGCGTTTACGATATCATCTTCTAGGTCAACAATTTGTTATACTTAATAATAATGATCATCTACACGAAATTATTGACCAATAACGTGTTCATGACACAATGTTAACCAAATGGTTTAAAGCAAAGAGAACCCATCAATGTGCAAAGGAGTTGACTTATGTTGAATTTTCAACAAAATGGGTATGGAAAAGAGATAATAATAATAATAATAATAATAATAATAATGGGATGTTCGAAAATCTCATAAATGTATTTGTAGATTG